CAGAGCTTTAACATAATTAGACAAATGATACATGGATTATACATAACGTTAGTAAAACCTTGAATTCATTTGCATTAAAATTAAACAAATGTCTCTAGTGTGAATCTTTACCCTCTGTGCCTTTCACAATATAAAAAATGCTGCAACTTATTTTACATAAACCATATGTCATTTTACTACACAATGGAGCTCTAATATCCCTCCCTTGCATTTAATGAAGCAAAGTGGCCAGACACCATATCTCAGATCAGTGTGTGTGTGTGTGTGTGTGTGTGTGTGTGTGTGTGTGTGGTGGGGGGGACCTCTGCATTAACATATCAATATAGGCCCAGTGCACGTGACAATCGGTGCACAGTTCACTAGCAAATTTTCATCATGTGAAATCAGTAGTTAATGAGTTTTCATTTCCTTTTGCCCATAGTGCCTCTGCTCCACCCTGGGACATTCTAAAGGAACCCTGCAGCACGGGGCATAAACACACAGCTCAAAGGCTCAYCCTGGATACTGTAAAACTTCAAAATGAAATATATCCAATAAAACATGCTTGGAACTCATGATTAAAAATTCAAACATTTTATAGATAACTGAGTCATAAATTTAACACAAACTGCTCGAACAGGGCTTTTATTCTTGAAACCAAAGCTCAATAAAACAGTCCAGAAAATGACTGTATAAATTTAATGAAAATCATGAATAATCAAAAGAAGAACTCCATACAGAAAACGTTTTAGCTTTCTCTCCTTTTTGAACATTAGCTTTTAATGTTCCTCTACTTACATGCTAACATGTTTCTCAGAGAAAAAAAACAGACAACACTCAACCACCAGGTACGTTAAGACAGTGTCCGCAATTAAAATAAACAGAATGAACAGCAGTGATACTCACACAAGCTCATGAAAGACAGACTAACAGAAAACAAAGAAAACATGAGAACCAAGACACTAAACGATGTTTATAAAAAAAAATAGAAAGAGTAGAAACAAACAAACAAAAGAAAGAAGAAAAAAAACAATTAACGATAAATGGCTGAGTATGTGAAAAATATCCATAAAATGAAAATGAAAAACTGGAGTGAATGGAGTAAATTTTGAGCAAATAAAAAGGGAAAGCCACAAAGTTATAAAAGAATCAGTGTCTATTAAATTAGTTCAATCAGAAATGAAGATTTTCCTTTCAGTAYATTAGAATGAGTTATAAGTTTTCCCAAGTTAGAAAAAYGTTTTTTTTCCTCCCTCACAAAGTTCTGAGCTGTGAAGCTGCTCTCAGTGGCAACTAACTTGATTTTGACTGCTGGCTTGTTTTCGTTTATCACAGCATTTTGTAATTTAATCCAGTCATCACACTTTCCACTAAAATGCTTTTATAGTTGTTCTGACAAAATATTCTGTTCATTAGAATTAGAGCAACAACCAAAACATTACTTTACAGTTTTTATAGACATTGTTCTTGGCATGGACTGTCCCTACGCATTTGGCTGAGTCACCTCTAAGGTTTGCTTTAACATCTGAGCTTTTTCGCACCTGCTCAGTTAGTTCACAACCCATTTATAAGAACCAATATTTGAATAGCAGCTTTGTAACACCTGTAACTTTGGTGTAAGGATTTATCATAAAACAAAAATGAAAGACTCTTGTACTGCAAAGTTCAGTCGAAGCTTACCGATTCAAATGTTTTTTCCTCTTGAAGTCACTTGCTTCAATTTTTACTGATATCACTTTGTTGGTGACATGAATGCAGTTTACTTGCCGTAAATGTAAAATGTTAATCCAGAAAGTTAAGCAGGGTTTTACATTTTAGTCTTCTCCCCTCWACTCCTTTTGTTCAGATCAAATATCAACTGAGAGAAATAATATTCACTTTAAGTTCTTTTTCTTATATCTTGTGTTTCACTGAAGGATTAAAACCAAACTGTGTCCAAAAACAAACAAATGTTCAGTTTTCTATCGAGACTCTGCAACAAACTGCATACTGATGTAAAGAACTGAACCCTGGAGGGTTTGCAGCAAACAAAGGCTAGAGCATTGTTGACTGAGAGGGAAATCGTTTCTCCAGCTCCTCCACAATGGAGTTCATGTTTGGATTTGGAATCTGCTGAGATGCAGGGCACTCTCTTTCCCCTCCTCCTTCTCCTTTTTCTCCTCCAACCTCCAGGACATCTAGCGAGTCGAGGGAATCCAGGGAATCCACGGACRCTCGGCTCTTCATGACCCTTTTCAGTGGAACCTGTTTCTGGTCGATCTGGCTGAACATGTTGGCCACGGACTTCTCAATGTCTGCTATGTTTTGGATGTTCTTCAAGATGCCCTTCAGCTCTTTGCGGGGCGGATCGGGTTCCACGGGAGCCGGCGACGGCGACGGTCGGAGGGACACGGGCCGCAGGGCGGGAGCCTCTGAGAAGGACGGGAGGACAAACGTGGACGGACGCAGGAGCGAGGGCGACGGAGGGAGGAGAGGCGGAGGCGGCGGGGGCGGGGC